TCACAAGTTAGAAGTCAGCCTGGGTAACTCAGGGAAAACCTGTCTCAATTAAAAAAGGAAGGGGAATGTGCTCAGTGGTTAAGCACCCATGGGTCCAATCCCCAGTACCAAAAAAAAAAGCACAAACACTATCGAGAGAGGGTGCCGCATCCAGGAAATCAGACAAGGTTCTCTAACAAGGGAAGCCCAAGGTCAGGAAGCTGGAAGCGCAAAAGCAGAGCGCTGACACAGAACCACTGGTGGCCTGACCCCAGCAACTGGGTGGCCTGAGTAGAGGATGAAAGTTTAAGGCCAACCTGAGCAACTCAGTGAGACCCTGTCTCAAAATAGAATAAAAAGGACTGAGAGCATAGCTCTGGGGTAGAGGCCTTGTCTAGCAAGGTCCTGGGCTGGGGATTGGGAAAGGTCCATGGAGAAGAGGATGAGAAGGTCAGAGACAGAGACAGAGGGGAAAAGAGACAGAAACAAAGAAAGAAAGATGGGGGGATGGGTGGGCGAAATACAGAGAGAGTGCCCAATAGCACTGCCCAGACAGCAGGCTCCACAGGCTGAGGCTTTCCAGGGAGAGCTGCCCTGACTCAGCGCTGCTCCTTTGCCCAAAGCAGCAGCCTTGGAGAGAGCAACAAGCAGCCAGCAGCAACTCAGAAGCCCCAGGCAGGCATGCGGGGAAGGACCAGGCTCAGTCCTAATCCGCCCCATGTCATACGCAGAGCAGGGGGAGGTGCCCTGTGAACCACACTGCAAACACCCCAAACCTGGCAAAAGCCAGCGAGGGGAGCCTCACATGGCCTCTCTTTGGACTACTGAGGAGAGGCAAGACCACAAATTTAAGGGGAACCCAAGCTGGAGGGTTGGGAGAAGCATTATTATGATGATCCTGAATTAATGCCCACCCCAGCCTCTCCCAGATCTCCTGCCCAGGTATTCCCTGGCACACACCCTGAGTGTAACCTCAGAAGGAAGGTCAGAGCAGGTGATGCTGTCCTTCTGTGCCTTCAGCATACAGAACAGCAGGAGGCATGCTGAGTATGTAGGCCACCAGCGGTGGGGTAGGGGGTGGTGCAGGAGAGTCCCACACACACAGGATACATAACCAGTCAGCTGGGAAAGATCTGCAGAGGAATGACAGCTGCTGGCACAGCAGTTGGGCAGACATAACCCAGACCAGTGGGAAGGTAGGAAGAGGAGAGAAAGCCCTAAGAAACAAACCAAAGTCCCTCAGTAGAAGACTTACTGAATGGGAATTCAATGGAACAAGACTCAGAGAGGAGGAGAGGGGTTAGAAAATTTGAGGAGGGAGCCTGAGGCCTGAGACAGCAGCTAGAGGAACAGGTTACAGCAGTGATCACAGAAATGGTGTTAAAGCCCTATGCATTCAACCTGTGCTGCAAATGCCCCATGTGAGGACCCTCTGAACACGCCTAACCTGTTGAACATCCCAGCTCAGCGGCAGCACAGCAGTGCTGATTGTGGCTGGCTGCGCACTGCAGCTTGCTGCTGCTGCCTAGCAGAGAAGTTTGGACCAGATATTGCTAGTTCAGGAAAACCTCCAATTAAAACTCAGCACAGTTTCTACTGAATACATACTACTTTTGCACCACATCGAAGGTCAAACAAGTTGGCAACCATCTGTACTACAAATTACTATATAGAAGGCTCAAGATGATCAAAGATCATTAAATTAAATTAAAATTAGATAATTAAATAGGATTAGGAAATTCTACAGTAGAGGGGGTAGAGAGAAAAGAGGGGAGGGGAGGGGAGGGGGGATAGTAGAGGATAGGAAAGGCAGCAGAATACAACAGACACTAGTATGGCAATATGTAAATCAATGGAAGTGTAACTGATGTGATTCTGCAATCTGTATACGGGGTAAAAATGGGAGTTCATAACCCACTTGAATCAAAGTGTGAAATATGATATATCAAGAACACTATGTAATGTTTTGAACAACCAACAATAAAAAAAAAAACATGAAACACAATTTAACATATTACAAGTTATATATCACTATTTCTCATGGCTATACTTGTTCTATACCTCATAGCTTTCTTACACTCTCATGCCTTATCAGAAATCCTGGTGAAAATTATATTAGATAGAAAAAGCCATTCAAACCTGAAGAACTGGTTAAACAGCAAAATACTTTTACCCTGTTGATAAGAAAATTGGACAACATATCTGTTTCTGAATCAATTCATACTTTGGGAGTGCTTTCAAATATTTTAAAACAGAATATGTTTAAATTATTATCAGAAAGCCATAAGTTATAGGAAGAGGAATAAATGTTTAAGGAGAAAATTATGTGTTAATATGTTTTGTCTAAAAAGAAGAAATATTTATTTTCTTATTTTAACTAATTGTATTAAACAATTGAATGGAGAAAAAAAAAAGATTAGGAAATTCAGCTGGTTATGGTAGTGTAGACCTGTAATCCCAGCTAACTGGGAGGCTGAGGTAGGAGTATGGCAAACTCAGGGCCAGCTGGGCAACTTGGATAAAAAATGGAAAGGGCTGGGGATATGGTTCAGTGGTAGAGCTGAAGTGGGCACCCCCTTTCTCCACAGAAAAGCCCTCTTCACCATGGCTGATTTGGGGACTATCAGCAAAAGAGTCTTTGCAAAAGAGTCCAATGTAGATAAACTTCCTATTTTTTGTGTCACCCTGTTTACTTGGCCACTGGCCGAGAAGATACCAGCACTCCAGGTGCTGGACACCCTCTTACTAGTTTTCACAAACATATCAAGTAGTACTTTGAAGAAATGTGCAAACAAGGCCTCTGGCTTTAAGCTGGGCTTCACAGAGATGTCTACATTTTTTAAGATAAGTTACAATTGGGCTCCATGGTAATAGCTGGCAGGAGGAGGAAAGAAAGGGGAGAAGAAGCTCTCCCCTTCTCAGGTGTTGTCCTTGAAGAGTTAACGGGCCCAGAACAGTGAAAGAACTTCTGCAGACTGTGAGCTTCTGAGCCCCTCCCCTTACGCTGGGTATAAAAATCTGAAACTCCCTGAACTTAGGGTTCAGGGAATTGATTGATTACAGCAAAGGCTGTACTCTCTGAACCTGGCTACAGCCAAATAAAACTGTTTCCTGCTGTCTTCAGTGCCTTGCCTCATTTGTCCCTACAACAGAGCAGCCCTAGGTTCACTCTCCAGTATTGCAAAAAAATTAAAAGGGGGTGGGAGGTAAGGAAATTAAAGCATTAGAGGGAAAGAAAATAAGGCAAACAGAGACAATGGCACCAGTGAAGCAGTCTCAAGAGACTCAAGCCTCTGGGGTTTTCTGCAAAAGGCAGATGGTGGTGACTAGCTTAGGCTTAAGGTCTTGTGGTCTCTACCATAACTCTGCCATTGTCTGGAAGAACAGCTCCAGACCAAGGGGAGAGGAACAGCTATGGCAGGGTTCTTCTGGCAGGACTTAACTTACCAAAGCAATGGCGGGGGCCTTGGCTCCACAGCTGTCATTTGTTTAACCCTGTTCTAGATTCAAAGAGCCCACTAAGACATGTGATGGGAAAGACCCCCAGAAGGCCCATCATCATTAAGACTCTGAAGACAATACATACATGTATAGAAATGTCACAGTGAAAATCCATCAACTCATACAATATGAGTTAGTAATGAATGACACTGGAGACAAGAAGAATGGCATGAGGCTTCTCTGCAGACACACAAGCAGTGAGAGCACAAGCCATGCTGCCACACTGTGGGGACCACTTTCCACTTTGAATTTCATCCCTCCAGGCACTCAGGGAAAGCCCCTTACAGAGACACAATGAGTCCCAACATTCACCTCAATACCTGACAATCACAAGAAGGTGTCCCCCAACTCCAGTGCAGGAGGACAGGGTTCAGGAGGACCTCTTCAGGAGTCCACAAGAGCCCAGTGCACCCAAGAGGACCAACCATGTTCCTGGACATAGGAACACATTCAGATTACACTGAGTGTTCAGATTCAAGTCCTGGAAAGTTGGGCAAGTGAAAACCTAATATACTACAGGACCCCAGCAAGCCTATTTACAGTCAAGATAATGTCAGCATAGGAGACCAAAAAGATCTATTGGAAAATGGCAGGCCTGTAGAAAGGAACAAGAGAAGCATCGGCCCAACCCAACAGGGAACTATGAGGCTGCATATGCAAGAGGCAACCCTGAATCAACAAGAGGCCAGTGACATTGTTCTTCATGTGGTGAGGAGGAAGTGGCAGGCAGGGCTGAAGGGAGTCCCCACCCAGAGAGTGCCCACCTCCAGACGCAGGGCACAACAGTCCCTGACCTGAGCATTTGGGAGCCCAGGCCCTCAATAGATGCCAGTCATGGCTCGTCCCTGGATGCCCGTCTCTGGGTTCTTCTGCAGAGAATACAGCCCAGCCTCCCTGGGCGATCTCCCCGAGGTGTCTGGTAGAGCCTACCCTGAGCATCCTCTCCGGATGTCCAGTCCACCCTTCCCTGGACGTCCTACCCCGGGTGTCAAGCACAAGCTCCCCCTGGGTTCTTCCCGATGTTTCCAGCTCACCTTTCCCCAAGCATCCTCCCCTGGTTGTCCAGCCCACCCTCCGCTGGGTTCTCTCGCCTGGGAGACCAGCGCACACTCCCCAGCCCTAAGCATCACCTCCAGACAATCCAGTCCACCCTTCCCCGGCTCAACGCCCAGCGCCCCGCCTCTCCCTCGGAGGCCCACCCCTTACGCATCCCCGGCCCCTCCCGAAGTTTACAACCCACGCCCGTACTCACCCGTACAAGATGACGTCATAAAGCGTGCGCCCCTGAACATTTAGGAAGTGGGCGTAGGCCGCGCGCACAGGAGGCGTGGCCGCGTGGTCCGCGGGACCCGGAAGCGGCAGCTCATTGGTCAGTAGCCCCAGCAGGAAGGGCGCCGCGTCCGGGCCGCGCACGCGCAGCAGGGAGCGCTCGTCTAGCAGGAAACACGCCCAAGCCGCCCTATCCGTATGGTCCCTGCCAAGACGGCCAGAGCTATGAGCCAGACGGCGCCTCGGGACCGCGTGCAGCCTCCAGCACCAAGCTGGGCCGCCGCGTCCCGGAGCCGCGCCCCGGAGAAGCGTCGCGACCGCCATCTTGGGCACTAGTGAGGCGGCGGGAGGGCAGTCGCTACAGCGGCCTCTGGCGGCAGCCGCCGGTAAAAAGGGACGGGCGTGTGCGCGGGAGGGGTGTGTCAGGGTGGGGACAGGGGTGTGGCCCCGCGGGCCGAGATAAGGGCGGTGCGTACGCGAGGGGCGGGGCTGCGTGGGTGGGAAGAACAGCGGTGCCGGCGGGGCGTGTGGGGCGGGGCCTGCGCCTGTCCGTCAGCGCCCTGGCATCTCCCCCGATTATTTCCAGGCTGGCTCCCGGTCTCCGTGTGGGGAGGTTCGTTTCATTGTGAGTCAGAACATAACGCCTAAAATTGGCCTTCTTAACCACTTTTTTAATTGTGGTAACAATGCTTCTCCTGGTAACGGTGTGGGCGTTCAGTTCAGCATGTTCCGCTGCTCTGTAGCCACGCCCATCCCCAGCACTTCTTTCCAGACCGAAGCTGGGTTCCCCCATGTTTCTCTGTCGGAGTGGGAGGGCTCCAAGGGCCTCCTCACGCTGTGGCTGCCTAGTTCCACGAGGCACAGTGGTCTCCGTGTTCACCCCGCACACACACAGGGCTTACTCTGTTGCCCAGGCCCATCTTGCACCTCTAGGCTCGAGGGTCCCACCCGAGTATCTATGGGTGTCCACCACACCTGGCAGAATGTTCTTCTTTTGGAAGATAAGTCGTATTCAGCTATATGAGTAGATCGCACTTGGTTCACCTGTTCATCCTTCAGTGGGCCCTTAGCTTGCTTTCAGCTTCTGGCCCCTGTGAACATGGGTGGACAGACAGCTATCTCTTTGAGAACCCACTTTGGATTCTTGGGGGTATGTTTCCAGAGGTGGGATTATTGGGCCATATGATGATGCTAAATTTTTTGAGAAACTGCCAACCTGTTTCCTAGAGAGCCCTCGTCCATTTTGGCTACCATTACAAAGTGCTGCAGCCAGGGTGTGGGGTCTGTCAAACAGTAGTTTTTTGTTTGTACGTTCTTGAGGCCAAATCTCCAGATGTGCCACAGGTCTAGTTTCTGCTGAGGCCTGTCTTCTCCGTGTCCTCGAATGGTCATTACTCTATGTATGTGCTTCCTAATCTTTTCTTATGAGGACACCAATCCTGTAGGATTAAGGTCCCGGCAGTGACCACATTTAACCTAACCATGTCCTTTAGGGCCCCATTTCGAAGTCACACTGAGGTCAAGGACTACTGTGGCCTGAGGCTCTGTGAATGCCTATTCAGCTGCTACAGCTCAGGAGTAACTTCCTGCAGGCTGGAAGTCCAAGGTCTAGGCAGGGCAGGTTACAGTGAGGGCTGCTGCCTGTGGTATCCTCACCTGGAGGGGCAGGGACCTCCTGGGGTCCTTTTATAAGGACTCATCCCATCAGGAGGCTCCCCTCATAACCTCATCATGTCCCAGAGGTCCTACCGCCTGACACCATGGCCTGGGAGAGGATTTCAACCTAGGTGTGGAGAGGTGAGAACGTTCAGTATCCTGTGTTGATACACTCCCAGCTCACAGACACCAAAGGAGTGACAAAAGGGACAGTCATGTGGCTGTCCCCTCTGTTCCTGATGGCCCATTTCTCACTGCCTCTTTCTTCTCCACAGTCTCTCACATTTTGCTCTTTTGTTTGCTGGGCCCTGGGGATGTCGGCTGCAGGCATAGGACTCACCATCTCCATGTGTCTCCCAAGGATAACGACAAGTGCCTATACCTCTGGCCTCTGAGCAGGGACATTGTGGCATGACAGACACTACCTGCCTCTCAGCTACCATCATGCCCCCACTGGTCTCCTTCTAGCCAGTGTTACACATGGTTTGGCTATGATTGTCATGTCTCTCGCCTCATGGGCCCTCCCCAGGACCACCCATGGTTGAACTTGGGACGTCAAGGCAGGAATCACCTGCTGAGGAGCCACAGCCACCCCAGGGCACTTCTTGGGGAAGGGTAAGGGGGCCAGTTGTGGCCCAGTGCAGGGCACCTGTGCATCAGATTGCCCTGGGACCTGCATGCCAACTCCTTTCTCCACAGCTGTCCACTCTGGCCCAGCACGTCAGAGCTCCTTTGAAGGTTTTGTGTTTATGGTCCTGAGCTCCAGGCGGGAGGGATGTTTTGTGCGGCTACTCACAGTACCTGTTCAGATGACAGCAAGGGAGCCTGTATGGAGGGGCCGTGGTGAAGGCAGAGGAGAGCTGGGGCTCCACGGAGGTGGGTTGGTTGGTAGCTGGAAAAACAACCAGGAGAAGATGCAGGTGAGGGCTCCGACTGGACCCAGTGGCAGGATTCTCCTGTGGGCAGGCCAGTGACTAAACATCCCTGGGGATGAGAAACCATCAGATGGTGAGGGTGGGGCTTCTAGCTAAAAGTGGAATTTTCCCCCCAGGAATGGGAACTGAAACCCAAGAGCATTCTACCACTGAGCTACATCCATAGCCCTTTTTATTTTGAGACAGAATCTCATTAAGTTGCCCAGGCTAACCTTAAACTTGAGATTCTCCTGCCTCAGACTCCCAAGTAGCTGGGATTATAGCTGTGTGTCATGAATGCCTATTCTTTACAGGTATGTGCCACCATGTCCAGCTAAAGCTGAATTTTATGAGGTTCTGACTGCAGTTTGGCCAAACAGAGCATCTTTACTGGAACTCGCTGCTGTACCCCAGGTTCCGGGCAGCCCTGGCACATACTGGCACTCAGTTAATACTGGAGGAATTAGCAAGTTACCTGCCAAGGCATCTCTACAGAAGACACCTGAGCTTGTGACTCTGGCTGTGATCAAGCCTCAGTCTCTGAACTTTGCCTTCGAGGCCCCTCTGTCTAGCCCAAACCCTATGGGGCTGTGGATCCCTCCCAGTTGGGCCTGACCACTGTTGAGGCAGAGCCTGGACTGGCAGAGGCCCAGGCAGAAACCCCAATGGTTCCCCCACCCTGGGGGCCCTTGGGCCACAAGCTTCCTGATTGACAGCAGGCAGGCTGAAATGCACTGCCTGCCCACAGCCCCCTCCTCTTCCCTGGGATGGAGGGTGACCTGGCACCTCCCTGCCAGCCTCAGTGAGGAGAACGGAAGCCAGGCAGGACAACACTGGCAGGGGGCAGCACCCAGGGCTGCGGTCAAGTTCCGCAGCCCTCACGTCAGCCCATCTCTGGCTTCCCACCCATGCAGGGCTAGCAGGAAGGGCACACAGGCAGCTTATCTGGCCTCTCAGAGCTGGTCTGGCCTGCAGCGCCCTCCAGGCCCACCCTGACTGCCAGCCAAGACCTACTGGGCTGTTGAGATACAGGCAATCAGAGAAAGTAAGATGGACTTTGCCTTTGGGTGGCCAGGTGTGGGAGGGAGGCTCCAGGAGGCAGGGACTCATCCTGTGGGGCTGGCTTCAGTAGGGGTGTAAGAGCTGGGAAATGGCTGACCTGTGTCCCAGCCCAGTTTCCCCAGGTAGCTGTGGTTTCCGTTTTCCTCTTTCTTGGCTTCCTCCCACCCAGGGGAAGGAGGAAGGCCCCATTCTGCCTTTGAACCTGGCCCTGTCCAGCCCTGCCCTCTGGACATTCCCCTCACAGCAGCTGGTTGGCTGAGGCTGTAGAAACAGATAAGACAAGGCATTCCAACCTGATCCTGCTCCAGGGCCTGGCCCGTGTCCCAACAACCCCTGGGCAGTGTCCAGGCTTGGCCTGGTGCCCTTGTTGTCATCCCATGCAGTCAGGGAAACTGAGGCACGGGGAGTTTTGTCTTAAGTAGCTCGGTGTCTTGCCTTGTGGTACTGGGGAATCAAACCTGGACCTCACGCATGCTGGACGGATGTTCTGCCACCAGGCTATCCCCCACAGTCTTATTTTACTTTTGAGACAGGGTCTGTCCCCGCTGGCCTTGAACTTGTGATCCTCCTACCAAACCAGCCCGAGATCCGGAGACTTCATCTGCTTGGACTGTGTGACAGTTCCCTCACACGCCCTCGGCTGGGCCATAGGGTGCCCAAGCGCCTGGCCAAACATCATTCTGTAGTTGATGACAGTTATTATATATGTCATAAAGAACCAGAAGGCAGGATTCAAAGGCTCTGCACACAGACGTTTTATACATTGAAGACATCTAACCCATAAATGTGCAATTATTATACAAAAATTAAAAACAAAATTTCAAAAATCATTATTGTGAGTGTGTCTGGAGAAGTGTTTCCCCACAAGATTAGCCTTTGGATAGAAGAAAGCCAATGGTGGGCCTCATCCAATCAGGTGAAGACATGAACAGCACTAACCAGTTGAGAGAGGGTGAGAGCCATGCCTAATCTCAGGCTTGGCACCATAGTTCCAGCACAGAGACCTTCCTTCGCTAGCAGCAGTTCCTCCAGCAGCACAGCTCCAGATCTGGATGGCCTCTAATGTGGAACTTTCGTTAGGAGATGCTGGCAGGTAGCCCCGCTGGAGGAGACACCTGCTCTGGGGTGGTGTTTTCCTACCCTCTTAGAGACCACATCCAGAATCACCATCCATAACTTCATGGGGCAGTGCTTAGTGTGGAATGAGGATTCACCTGGGGACAGAGGTTCCCTAGAGCCAGGGTCCATCTGGTGCTGAGCCTAAAGTCAGGGCTCCTGGAGGTGAAGGTTAGCTGGGGCCAGGGCTCAATCAACTGGGCCCCAGAAAGGAAAGGGACTTAGCATGCGCTTGGCGCCTGGCCAGAGTCAGCCTGCCATTAGACTTGGGACTCAGCCAGGGTTTGAACCAGGGACTCCAGAGAGGGGTTTTCAGCCCAAGAAAGTGAGGAGGCAGCTGTGTCACCTGGGGTCTGCACCAAAATGGCCCCCTGCTGATGGCCAGCATTCCAACATCTCCAGGGCCTGAGATGGACTGCCCTGTCCCTGAGTGGCAGAACAAACTTGTGCATGACTGTCCTTTGTTTCCTGACAAGTGTGGCCTCCACCTCCTGGCCCCAGCACACTCCCTGGCACTCAGTGGCACCATCTTGTGTTTGATAATGACCTTCAGGAGCTCCATCTCAGGCCTTGCTCCCTGCTTGTCCCTGGGGAGAGGTCTCCCAGCCAGGCTGGTGCTGAGCTAGGTGCCCCCTGTGGCTAGTAGGGAACACTTGGGCACACATGTGCCTGCTTACATGTATGCAGTCACATACATAGCCACAGTGCATGCAGTTACCAGTGTGCATATTAACACAAACTCACTCTTGCTCAGATTTACACAAGTGCACACACCCTGTTGTAAACAAAAGTTAGTTTTATTTTGCTCCCTTAGTTCCAGAAGCTGGCTCTGAATTAGGAAGGCAGGCAGAGAGGCCATGGGCAGGCTTCCCAAGACCCCTTCCTCTAGCATAACCCAGCCACAGGTCCCCAACCACTGCTTTTGTCAGTCTAGGCAGCAAACCTTAGCTGGTACTTTTTGCCATAGAGGCTCAGAGAAGGGGTAGTCCTGTCCATCCAAGGTCTTCTGCAGAGTGTCACCCCAGGAGAACCAGGAACTGGTGCAGGTTGGGGCTGAGCCCAGGACCCTCTGCCTGTCCTGGGATTGCTGGAACCAGGGCTCCAGGCTGAAGGTGTGGCAAAGGAACCACATATTGTGGCAGCAAATGGAAACTGTGCAGTCCCCAAAATGTCTGTTCCAGGGACTCAGGTGGTCAGTGGGTTGCTGCAAGGGAGCTCAGAGGGAAGGAATGGGAGGCAGGCAGTGGTCATCTCTGAGGGCCCAACAGCTCAGCAGGGGCACGGCCAGTCATTCCTGGGCCCCTGCTTAGCCCACCCTTGGGGGCACATAGGCTTCCTCCTCCCCGTCTTTCAGCCTCAGAGGTGCCCAGACCCTGCCTCCTGTTGGCCTTCAGCCCCTTCTCCTCCCTGCAACATCCCTCCCCAGGTAGGAGAAGCAGCCAGAGCTGCCTTGGGTGCCGCTGTCTGAACAGAATTGAGATCAACTTTCCTCCAGAGCCTCCCACATCAGCCCTCCCTCAGCAATCCCCGCCAGTATACTCAGATCCACACAGTGGCCTTTCCGTCCCTGCTGCCAGTACTTCCCTTCTCAGAGCCAGCCCTGGTTTTTGCGCCTGGCCGCTCATGGGCCCCAGGCCGGCCCTGCTCCCCGGCGGTGCCCCCAGACGTGGCGCTGCCGGTTCCAGAAGCCGGTGCGCCGGCTCTGGGTGGCCCCCGATTGGCTGCGGAGAGCCCGGGGCAGGGCGGGCTATCCCTGTCTCCGCCTGCTGCCGCCCCATCACGCAGCGCCTGCAAGGCCAGATTAGCCAAATTCTGGTCATGCGCGCGTGCACGCTCAGCAGCACGCACCACCAGGCTGTAGTCAGGCGGGCAGGCCAGGCCGGTGGCCGGGGCCGGGAAGGCACAAGGTGGTGGGCGCGGCCCGGGACCAGGCGCCTGCGCTGGTGGACCCCGGCGGCCACGTACGGCGTCCTGCGCGCTACCCAGGCCCAGGTGAGCCATCTCGCAGAGGTTGAGCAACAAACACAGGCAGCTGACCACGTACATGACCAGCAGGAAGACGGTCTTCTCAGTGGGCCGCGACACGAAGCAATCCACCACGTGTGGGCAGGGCTGGCGGCTGCAGGCGAAGAAAGGCCGCACCTCGAAGCCATAGAGTAGGTACTGGCCCACCAAGAAAGCCACCTCAAAGGCAGCCCTGACCACCAGTTGGGCCACGTACACGCGCATCAGTCCCTCCCGCTGGATGCGTCGCCGTCCATCGTGTTGCCCGGCTGGACCCGGGCCCCCAGCCGCCTTGCCATCTACCCCAGCCCCCTTGGTTGCCATCTCATCTGCGCGCTCCTCCTCCGTGTCCTCTCCCGGACCCTCGGGCACTCCTGGCTCTTCCTCTTCTTCCTCCTCCAGCCCAAGCATGGGTTCCGCCTCGCCCAGGTCAGTGGGCTCTGGCCATCCAGGCGGTGGCAGGTGCGCCCTGAGAGCGCGTCGGGGACCTGGGCGGCGGCGGAGCGCTCGCCTCCGCTCCTGCTCCGAGGCACGGGCCAGGCGGTGGACGGCGTAGCCCAGGTACATGACGGAGGGCGTTGAGATGACCACGATCTGAAAGACCCAGAAGCGCACATGCGACAGGGGTGCGAAGGCGTCATAGCAGACGTTGTCGCAGCCCGGCTGCCGCGTGTTGCAAGTAAACTTAGACTGCTCATCGGAATAGATAGACTCGCCGCCCACAGCAGTCAACACGATGCGGAAGACCACCAGCACGGTGAGCCACACCTTGCCCACGAAGGTGGAGTGGTTGTGGATCTCCTCCAGCAGCCGCGTCAGGAAGCTCCAGCTCATGTTGGTCATGGGCGCGGGCGGGCAGGACCTGTGGGCGTGGGCAGCAGTCAACGACGGCCAAATGGGGGCATCTGGAAACCCGGTACTCAGGGTTCAGTCGAGAGGGCTGCAGTCGCTCAGCTTACCTATAGCTGGTGACCCAAGCTCACCATCTTGCCTTTTCTGGGTGGGAAAGGCATTCCCCACCCAGGCCTAAGACCCTGTCCCTGGGACTTAGGGAGAACCTTCCTTGGCAGAGCTGCATCTCTTGCTGAGCACCTGCCCAACCCTCTCTCCCCCAGAACTCCTCAGGGGAGCTCTGTGGTCAGATCCTGCTGCACCACCTTGCCCCACTCCCTCCTACTCCCACAGAGTTATGCCCCAGTATCTGAGGGTCTCTCCCAGGACCTAGTCCCCAGCTTGCCCAGCCACCCAAGCCCCCACTACTTCTCCAACTTCCCAGCCTCTGCAGTCCCCAGCCCTAGTAGCCCCATCAACCCCCACAGCCCTGAGTCCCAGCAGCCCCGCCCTTCTCCCTCCACACCCTGCACAGCAGCTCTAGACATCCTCTGCCTCGATATAGGACCCCATCCTCTCCAAGCCCCTGCTGGTTCTGCTGCACCTAGCCTGCCAGCTGCCTCTCCCAGCACAGGACCACTGGGGCTCCCCATGCAGCCCCAGCTCCTTCTCTCTAGACTGTTCCCAGCTAGGGGAACCAAGGAAGCCAGCATCTATCCAGGTGGGACAATGTCTGGTGAAGCTGAAAACACAATGATGCACAGCCACCTTGGGCAATGACAGAGACAGCCACATCTATGTGCTCAGAGGGGCTCTGGGGCCTGGTGAGACCCTCATATTTACCCTACCAGGAGTCACCAAAGGGCAGCAGGGGTGGCCTGTTGGGTGGGAATTCCAGGCCACAGGAGGGAGAGGTGAAGCAGCTGAGACCCCACCAGGCAGTAACGCCACGGCCTGGCCATACAGAGGGGAGTCTGGCCAGGCAGAGTTTGCTTATGGACCTAGTGGGGATGTGAGAAGAAAGCCATGGAGGATAAGGACCAGGGACAGGGAGGCCATTTTGGAGGGGAGATTAGCATCTGAGTCTGGAATTGAGGGTGCCTGTTGGTGTCTGGGTAGTTAGGGAGGCAGCTGGACCCACAAGAGTTACCAGGTGACTCCTGGTAGGGTAAATATGAGGGTCTCACCAGGCCCCTGCGCCAGGCAACCTGTCCCCTACCTCTGGCCTGGGTCCTGCTGCCCCTTCTGCTGGCCAGAGCCAACTGCTGCTAGGCCACAGCTGCCTCCTTCCACACAGAGGTACAGTGCATAGTACTGCACACACAGGTGCTCCTACACACCAACATGCCTGTGCACACGCACACACATGCACTTGCCCTTCCCCATCCCCTCTCCATGAGTCATCTGTCTGTGTAGCGGGTGAATGCTCTGTGGATAATGATGGCAGCCAGACCCATGGAGCTCCTATCCAGTCTGCCAGAGAGGTGGACAGCTTCACAGAGGAAGTTCACAGACAAAATACAGAAAACCATGGGTTTGTGCACACACTTGTCTTTGCTGTCACCTGAAAGGGCTAGAATGCAAAAACGCCTGGGGATCTGGGGATGCGCCTGGCCCCAGGCTGTGGTCTCTAACTCCAAGCCCCTGAAAGGAAAGAAGCGCTGATGCCAGAGCCAGGACAGGGACACAGGGTGGCTTTGGAGAGGAGGAGCCTAAACACGAGGCGGGTGCACAGAAGCAGGACACACAGTGGGGCCTGTCTGGGAAACCAAGTCAGCTGAAAGCGCTCCTGGTGGCTAAGGCTGCTTGGACTTAGACTGGGCTTAGACCCCTGAGGGCTTCAGTGGAGCCAAGCTGAGGAGAGCAGACAGATCCTGCCAGGAGATGCACCTGCCACCAGACCTACTTCCCACCACTGGGAGGCAGGACAGAGGAGTCCCACCTTCGCAGTGATCACTGTTGTCTCTGCCATGACCCAGGACAGTGCCCTGGCCGAGCACTGTATGGGTACCATTTGCGTCAAGCATCCCAGGGAGGAGGGGCGGGGGGCATGGGAACTTTGTGACCTTCACAGAACTTGCCTGAACTTCCCAGCTTTCCTGGGAGTCCACACGTGTTTACGGTAAAGGACGCACCACAGAGGGGCCAGCCAGTGCAGGGCCTTGGAGCAGGGGAACCCTCCCCCAACACTAGGCCTACAGTGGGATCTGGGAGGGGGTCCACTGTAGGGTCTGGGTCCTCCAAGGGGCGCCCTGGTGTCAGGCCCCAAGCAGGCAGTGAAGAGCATGGTGGTGCGAGGGAGAGGTGACCCCAGCTGGCCCTGGAGCAGTCAGTCAGAGGCCAGGGAAGAGCAGGAGGTGCAGGCTCTGGAGTTTGGAGGAAGGATGTGGGTTCAGGGCAGGAGCAGGGACTCACAGAAGGCTCACAGAGATGACAAGGGTCTAACAGTGGGGTTGGGAGTGCAAACCAGGGCTCACAGGAGTGTGGGGGCTGGGGCTTACTACAGGGCTTGCCTGTGCCCAGCAGCCCTGGGTGTTTCCTAGCCTGGGCACTCTGAGGCCATCAGGCGGGAGGCTCCCAGTGATAGGGGAGGCATGGAGCTGGTGGAGGGGGTACAGGCAGTGGGGGCTGCCTCTGTGGGGGTCTCTTTCAGGGCAAGTAGGAAAGGCTGCCTGTCAGCAATCTCCAATGTCAGGTCCTGGTCAGCATGCCCAGTCCTGGCACAGTGGGAGACCAGTAGCCCCAGACCTACCAGCAGTGGGATGGGCTTTCCCCCTGAGCCCTAATCACTAGCTCTGATCTAGGTCCTGGGAAACACCCTCAGGCATCCTCATGCGTCCACCCCTCTCAGAGTCCGCCGGCTAGGACCAGGCTTCCCCTGCTCTGGTGGCTGCTGGAGGGGCACCCTCGAAGTGCTCAGCTCTCCAAGCAGGGGCTGGGTGGGGGATTGTCCCTTGTCCACACATCAGCACCCCTCATGCCTGATGCCCCAGTCCTGATTGTCCCCTCCCAGGTCCTCAGAGGTGGCTGTAACACTCACCCACAGGAGCCTCGGCACCCACCCTATAGGCTGGGCCCTGGCACACCCACCTGAGCTTCGACCATGCATCTCCTGGCATGCTGGCCCAGAGGGGATGTGCACCCTTAACCACCAGGACCCAATCCTCAGGCCCTGGTGACCTTGGCAGCCCATGGCAGTGAGCCTGCTGCCCCTGTGTGCATGGGCAGGCCACCTTTGGCCTTTCTCTCCTGCCTCCTCATCCCAGCCTGCTTCCCACTTCTCCCTCCCCTCTCGACCACACAGGTATGCCGAGGGGTGTGCAGCCCGTGCTTAGGTTCACATCCACTTGAACACTCGTGCAACCAAGGGCTCTCAATTCCACACCAGCCAGTACCTCCCTGGGGAAGCCCCCCAGGCCTGGGGGGCAATCCAGCATGTCAGTGGACACTTGAGCTTCTTGGGAGGTGGCCTAGAAATTCAGCCAGACCCCAGCTGCCTGGAGATGCAGGCGTGGGCTGAGGTAACTGCTGCCATCTTGTGGGCCTACTGGCCAGGCTGGGGGCCTCCTCACCCTGGGTACCCTGTAGTGACCATGTCTGCTCCCCCACCTGCTCTCCTGAGTAGGACAGCTTGCAGCCTGTGCCCGAGGGGCCCCACCTGCCACCCTTCCCCACCCACAGTCGAGCCCCCTCCCTGGGTGCTCAGGGAGGCACAGAGCCCCCTGGACCAGGATCCAGGAGGTGAGGGGCCACCCCTTCCTCAGAGATGGAGAGACCAGATGGGATGAGGGAAAATCACTGCCCTGCCATTGAGATAGCTGCTGCTGCAGTACAACCTGGAACTGAGTGGCCGGTCCTCCAGAAGTGGGGCTGCTGGCCTGAGTGTGGGTGGGGGAGACAGAGGGATGGGGGTCACAGTCTCCTCCAGAGCCACCAGGGAGACCTCCCACAACTACCGCAGGCAGGACTCTATGAAAAAGGGTGGCAGGACCGAGAAATTGCACCTTCGCAGTGATCACTGCTAACCATCTCTGCCATGTCCCAGGGAGGGTGCTGTGCTGCCCACTCCCACAGGGGTCCACATGCACCCCCTGCACATTGTCCCTGGACCCACATCCCTCATGCCCTCCCACAGTAGAGGCCTGGGCTCATGAGGATCTCCTGTGCAGAAGCTTTGGTGGCCCTGGTGCAACGGTCAGCAGGGCTGTTCTGGACAAGTCCTTCTTCCCCCAGGCCTTAGTACTCCTCCTTGGGACCCTAACATCAACCCCATCCTTGCCCTAATGCCTTCCTAACAGGCCTGCTCCAGCCACCTCCAGAACCCCACGCACCCTACTCAGCACAAGGTTTGCTATCCTTGCATGATCTGCTCCTTGGCTGAGGCCCTGGGCCCAGCAGGTGAGAGGGGCTTGCTCAAAATATAGCCAGCCTGCCTGGGGTCCTGAGTGATTAGGGGCTGAGTGCCTCCTGGCAGTGGAGCAGACCCTCTGGGTGGGACCCCTTGCCTCTGGCTTTCTCAGTCAAGCCAAGTATTGCCCAGGCCCAGCCTCTGAACACACTGCAACTGGCTGGGGGCTCATCAGCTGCAGCCAAGGGGCCCCAGCTGCTGGGGGAGATGCCAAATGCACGCCTTGCTCACCAGGCAGGCCCTGTGCAGCCTGAGGCCCCATCTCCCCCACCTACTACCCAGAAGCCCCTAAGTGGACCCTGCTCACAGCTGGGCAAAGATGAACAGACACCCAGAGGGGCCCCTCAGTGCACAATCCAAGCAGTTGCATGCTCCCCAGGATGGGTCCTTCCGTAACCCCCCTACGTCCCCACAGGTCCTGAGGCTAAGCCAGGAGTGGGGTGCAGCAGGGGTGAAGCCACCCTACCTCAGCTGGCTGAGGGGTTCACCGCTAGAGTTCCTGTTCTGGATGAGTCTGGGGAGGTGGGTGGGGTTCCCAGGCAGAGCCCTACCTTCTCCAGGCTGGGAAATACAAGTCTCACTGAGCCCTTCCACCTGCCGGACGATGCTGGTCCTTCCCGAGGGTGTGTGGCTGGGCCAGGGCCACCTCTCGCCACCAAGCACAATGCGGGGTGAAGGGGGGGCCTTCAAGGGCTCCATTGTTCCCCCTGCAGGCCTCAGGGTCTGAATCCCTGATTGTCCCTGGGGGTGGGGTAGCTGGGAGCTGGAAACGCCAGCCCAGGCCCACAGCAGTCCCCGACACTGCACCTAAGGTCCAGGCCTGGTTCTGGCCTGCCTTCCTTGAAACACATCTGGCCTTTTGGACAGGGCCCAAGACGCCTGGTCTCCCTAGCTATTTCCGCCTGGGCTTCCTGCCTGCTTCCCTCTTCCAAATCCTCATCCACCCACATGTCTGGGTCTTGCCCTGAGTGGCTTCACCTGGACATTCATAGGCAGGGCTGGGGCTGACCCCCCGCAAATGTGGTGCCCCTCTGTTGGGGCCACTTTCCTAGGCCAACCATATAAGAGAGGCCCAGCACAGCCAGGGTTCCTGAGGCACACCACTGGGGGCCAGGACAAGATGGACAGCTACCTCTGAGGAGGCATCTCCCTTGGGAGCCCCCAAATCATCCTGGCCTCCACACCTCAGGGATCTGGAACCTCTATGGAGGCACTGGGCATCTGCTCCTACACCAGCCCCTAGGACCCTGATCCCTCAGCCTCAGTTCCCTGTTCCCTACCTGGATTGTCTCTCTGATGCCCCCAGTTGGCCCAGGAGCAACTAGAATAGGCAGCAGTGGACTCCCAGAGCTGGGCCTGGGCTCCCCAAGGGGACATGCTTAGGAACAGCCCTGGATGACATTTCCATGACTGGTGGACACTGGTTCAGGTAATGGAGTAGGTGCCAGTAGACACTATCCTTAGGGCTTGCTGGGTAGGAGTGGAGGAGACCAGGGGTCCCGTGTGGAGGAGTGTAGCTATGGCCTTACTCAGGATTAAGAACCCGCCTCAGGGTGGCAACACTTTAACCCAACAGTCACTTTATTAGGATGTCAGTCCCGCTCCAGCGGGAGGGACATGGGAAGGGACAGAGACAGCTCAGGGAAGGCAGATGGGGGGCACCTCAGTCCTCCAGCCACAGTGAGGGAGGGAGGTGGGCAGCAATCCCACCCCACATGCCAGACACCAGCTGAGGTGCAGAGCTGCCATGTGGCCAGCAAGGAGCAACTGTGCCCATCCCACGTTGGGAAGCCATCCTGGGTGCTGTGTGGATCCTCAGCAGCCCAGACAGATGCAGGGCACGGGAAGTGCCTGTGGGTTGGACAGGTGGTCCTCAGGAATGGCTTGTCCCCTGAGCTTTCTTGATTTCCTGCCCAGGAGGAAGAGAAAAAGGTCAGGGAAGGCTGGGATTGGGGAGGACTGGGCCTCCCATCTGCTGACACCCAGTCTTGTGCCAGTGTGGGTACACCAGGCCTCTCCAGAGTCCACACAGGACGCAGCCTGAGCAGGGGCTGCCCAGGACCAAGGAGGGAGGCCCACCTCAGACAGTGCCTGCTTCAGTGCTGCGTAGGCTTCATCCAGGTTATCATTGATGATCACCAGGTCGAATAGGCCTGGCTCCTTGCCTGGGGACGAGATGGGGAGAGGGACAGGCAGCACCAAACTCATCACCTAGCTGTGTTCCCTTGCTGCTATTTTGCGAGGCAGCCCCTGCATGTCCAGGCTATGGGAGGGACAGACCCCGAGGGCCAGGTACCAAGCCACACTCTCCTCTCTGCAGAACCCCAGCAGGGGCTCAGAGCTGTCAAGCTCTTGAATCCAAGCTCAAGACACTGGTCAGGGCTAGCAGTGCAGGTGATGTGGTTACCCCACGCCCTTGCAGAGACAGCAGAAGGGCCAAGCAACCCCCGCCTGCAGCAAACTGAGCACAAACCAGAGGGAAGAGGATCCAAGTGGAGATGAGGGTGTGAACCTTTAGGGGACCCCAGCTGCACTCACTGCTGTCCATGTCTGCCCGAGCGGCAGCCAGCCGCTTCTCCAGGCTTTCCTCTGTCTCCGTGTTACGCTGGCGCAGCCGCTGCTCCTAGAAAGCAGGCCCACGTGGGGTCAGAGCCTCCTGGGTACCCGCCCAGCCCTGCCCCAGGCACGCACCAGCACATCCAGTGAAGGAGGCTGCACAGAGATGTAGATGGGGTGAAGGTCTGTCTTCTTGATGTTGCGTACGCCCTGCAGGTCCACGTCCAGCACGCAGATGCGGTTCATGGCCTGCACGGCCCGTACGGCCGCCTTGCTAGGGTCAGAGATGGACGTAGCCAGAAGCTCAGTGGCACTGCTCTGCTCTACCAGGCCCCAGGTCTCCAAGACTTTCAGAGGGACTTGGCCCCTCCCTCCCAGCCTCCCCTGGGCAGCTGCAGGGCCTCACCTGTCCCCAGCACCCCCTGCACTTTCCAGAGCACCCCAAGCACACCCCTACCAGGCCCCTGCCAGCATAGTCACTTGTCCTGCAGCCACATGGGGTTCCTCTTGGAGGGCACTGCCTGACCCCGGGCCTCTGGACAGCCTGTTTCTGTGCCTCCTCATGTGCTCCCTTACCCACTAGATGGCTCAAGGGCTCCATGGGAGCTGGGGAAGGGCACTCTGCAGCAGGCAGACTGGGTGGAAGGTGTCGGAGGGGAAGACTGGAGAGCCCACTGCTGCCATGACATGGGGACCCTGACCCACGACCCCAGGGGTTTTGGGCCTACCCCATGCACAGCCCACCTTGTCCCATACAGGTTTCCTGAGAACTCAGCATGTTCAATGAAGTCCCCAGCAGCGATGTCATGCTGCATCACCTCCCTGGTCACAAAGTAGTAATCTGGAGAGGAGGAAGGCTGTCTAGAGGTGCCCACCATGCGGCCCGGCCAGCATCCCCATCTCCTCGGAGTATTGACAGCCCTCCTCCCATCCCGCGTCTGGGTTGCTCTGTCCATGTGTCATGTGCCACTGCTTGCACTGTCCCCTTTGTGGGGACAGGAGACTGCCAAGTTCCGCAGAGGAGGTGGGGACCTCTGGGCAACACATCAGCATGGAGTGTCTGGGACATGCTAGAGGAGCACACTCCAGCACACCACACAGCAGCGGGGCCAAGCTCAGGGCAGCCTGGGTCAGGTGCCCAGGACACTACTTCTGTAGCTTCCCCCAGGCTGACAAGAGGCACAGGACCTAATCACCCACCACCACTGAAGGCAGGGACTCCCACACAGGTGGGAGACCACTGTGTGCCCTGCAGCCAAGAGGCAGGGGATGAGGAGACCTCCCAACACCATGCCAGCTGCAGCCAGGGCCCATGGACTATCCAAGCCAACTCACCTCTGCCGTTCTCCTCACCGGGCCGCGGGTCCCTCGTGGTATCTACAAAAAAGACCCACCACCCACTGAGAGACCCTGGTCCCACCAGCTCCACAAGTCTTCTCTGGCAGGTGTGCTCCGCCCAGGGGCCCGCCGCAGGGCTGTGCACCAGACCTGAGGCCTGCACCGCATAGGCAGGAGGCTGTGGCAGCCCAGCCCTGCCCTCTGGGGGCCATGGAGACCAGGAGGCTTGCTGCAGACTCAGACCCCAGGAAAGGGGCATAAGCAGAGCACCCCCAGGCTGTGTGTATGCCTCTGGGGCCTCCAGAGTGGCTGCATGCTGGGACAACACCCCTAGCCCATATCTTCATGTCCCCAAAGTACTCACGGGACACACTGAAGCCAAAGATGCTGCCATGCTCCTGGAGCAACCTCTTCAGCAGGGTGCTCTTCCCAGCCCCAGATGGCCCGCTCAGCACCACGGGCCTGGGTCCCGACATGCCTGTGCAGGGGCAGATGCAGGTGTGGGCAGCTGTGCCCTCACCCATGCCAGCACTGGACCACACACAGGAGGCAGTGGGGTGAGGGCCTCCCTGTGCAATGTGCACCATGCACAGAAGAGTGCTAATCAGCAAAGATGGCCACAAGAGCAAGGAGGCCAACAGGGCTCCAGCCTCACCCTTGTGTCTCCCAAAGCTAAGCCTGGGCCAGATGACACTGTCCACTCCAGTTCCATCCTTCTCAGGGCTGCCTCCAGGATCCCATCCTGAAACCCCTGCCCCACCCAGGGCTGCCTTACCCAGTGCCACCCCTCTGGGACCCTGAGACCTCTACCCCATGTGGGAACCTAGCTTTGGCTCCTATAGGTGGTACTGCCTGCTGGGTGGCCGGGTCTGAGGTGGGAGTGTTCCTGTCCCCACAAGTGTGGTCTCATTAAGGTCTGCTCAAAGTCTGTTCTGGGAACCTCCCACTAGTCCTGGTCTCTGATGCCAGAGTTTGGGAAGCACAGGCTGCTGGCAAGTGGGGCAACCCTAAGAGGGGAAGCTGGATGTGGCTAAGGGCTCAACACCTGTGGCAGGAAGGCACTGAGCAGCCTGTGCCAAAGGGGAGGTCTGTGGGATCAGCTGAGCCCTACCACACAGCTCAGCACAATCTTGCACCAGTTTCCTTCCTTATGGATCTGCTGGCACTGCCCTAGGACAGGGATCCTTCCCTAGGATCGACTGAATTCCAGCCCTGACCCCACGGTCTCCCAGCGTTTGACTCCCCCAATTCACCCTCCCACCAACCTGGCCCTGAGCAGGCCTCCTTTCCCTGGGGGACAGCCCCTCCTGTCTCCCTGGGACAGCACCCACCTGCCTGGGGTGCAGCCTCCTCTGTGGTCAGCCTGGGGCAAGACTGCAGTTGCTCTGCACTCAAGGCTGGGGGTTAATCTCTGACAAGCCTGCACCCTGCCCTTCTGACAGCTAAATCCCCTGGACACCCAATCCCGCCCTTCTTAGAACTAGATCCCCTGGGGGCCCAACCCCACCCTTCTGAGAGCTAAATCCCCAAGCGCCAACTCTGCCCTTCTGAAAGCTAGATTCCAGGGGCCCTTACCCTAACAGGGAAGCCAGCCCCACCCCCATACCGAGGAGGAAGGAAAAGGAAGTTCCTTGCCCTGCCCTACTCTAGCCCATGTGAGCTGAGGGGTGCAAGACCAAGTCTGCCCAGGGCAGCACATGAATGAGAGTAAGAGGGAGGAAAATCCAGGCAGGATTTTGGGGACTAAAGTTTCCACTCTGTGCTGGCCTGGGCAGAGGGAGACCCTGGAGGCTGTAGGAGCTGGAGGGGTTGCCTGGCAACCCAAGCACCTTAGCCCTGGGCTGTTAGCAGCACAGTGCCTACAAGGACAAGCACCTGTGTGGGCAGGCCTGCTTCTTAATCTCCAATGTAGGCCACAAGGTTATCTCAGAGCACCATGCTGGCTCTTCACATACAGGGGCACACGCCACAGGACACTGCCCGCAGGTGCCCCTACAAGGTTCACACATTCAAAACATGCACATCCACACGTACACACTGAAATGCATGCGTTTGTATGTGTTCTTGAGAAGAAACACTCAGGACCGCTTGTGAAATATGCAGGAAGGAGGGATAGGGGAGCCTGGCCCACATCTCCAGCAGGTCAGTGACAGACTGCTCTGGCCTGCCTGTCCAAGGTGTCTTCTCACCTGTCACGCTGCTCTGTATGCCACCTTCTCTGGGGCGTCCAGACAGAGCTCACCCCCCCCCCCGCCAGCCCCTGCTTACCCAGGCCTGCTGCCAGCTGCATATCCTGGCTCCACAGGGTGGCCCTCCCTTCTACCTACACCAGGCACTCAGGTGGCCACAGATTGATGGCCTGCTGCTGCCTGTGGGGGCTCTGCATCCTGCTGACTTGGCACTTTCAGTTTCTCGTACCCCAGAGTGTCCTAGGACACAGGAGCCCTGTGACCCAGGTCAGCTTCTAGAGCTCCTGGCTCCCATGAGGGTAACATGGGTTCACGGCAGGGCTCACCTTGGGGCTGTCCAGACTCAGTGCATTCCCCAGCACTGTCCATGCAGTCTGTCTGGTTTGCCCCACTCAGCTGGCTTGTCTACAAAGACTGAACGCCTAGAAGGTGACTAATAGGCCACGGATGACCGGCTGCGCCAAGGGCCTCAAGCTTCAGTATCACCCGACTTCTGTGCCAAATGACACAACTACCAGCACTCCAACAGTTTAGTCACCCTGGTAGCAACCAGGAAGGACCACATAAAAGAACAGATGGCATGTGGATTCCTAGAAAACAGACACCTTCTCAAAATCCCTGATTTCACTAACCTAGTCTATGATTCTGGAACCCTCAGGGGTGGAGAGGTGGAGCTGTGAGGAAATCCTGCTTTTCCATTCTTTAGCTACTGAATAAAGCTTGTACTGCTGATGCTCAGCTTTGGTTTTGTTACTGGCTGCCCAAACCTGAAAGAGGAAAGGTCTCTACCTTGAAGGTCTCTCCCTCATAGGAAGGGAGCATTTCATCCCTAACAAGTATACGGACTCCTGCAAGCAATCACAGCATAGCTACTTTGGTTGCTGAAAAGAGAAATCCACCTGGAAGAATGATGAATACTACTGTACCAGGAGGAGGAGCACTGCTGGAACAGGAGGAGGAGTACTACTGTACCAGGAGGAGGAGTACTGATGGAACAGGAGGAAGAGGAGCACTGCTATACCAAGAGGAGGAGCACTAGTGTACCAGGAGGAGGAGCACTAGTGTGCCAGGAAGAGGAGCACCAGTGTACCAGGAAGAGGAGTACTAGTGTACCAGGAAGAGGAGGACTAGTGTACCAGGAGTACTACTGTACCAGGAAGAGCACTGCTGGAACAGAAGAAGGAACACTGCTGGAACAGGAGGAGGAGCATTGGCGTACCAGGAGTACTACTGTACCAGAGGAGCACTGCTGGAACAGGAGGAGGAATACCACAGAACAGGAGAGGAGTACTACTGTACCAGGAGGAGTAGTACAACCATATCAGGAGGACAAGCACTGCTAGAACAGGAGGAGGAGCACTACTGGAACAGAAGGAGTACTACTGTACCAGGTACTGCAGTACCAGGAGGCTGAGTACTACTATACCATTAGGAAGAGGCTGTCCCACATTTTGGGAAGATGGGAGTCTGTACCCCATCCCCAGGGCCACTCACCTGTGGGCTGTGGTAGCAGTCAGGGGGACAAATGGGTGACAGTGAGGGATAGGGAACAGACAGGCATGAACAGAGAGAATCTGAGATTAAGGCGATAATTTTGTACACTGGGCCCACTGTGCTTTCTTTTTTTTTCTTTTTTTTTTTTTTTAAGAGAAAGAGAGAGAATTTTTTAATGTTTATTTTTTAGTTTTCAGAGGACACAACATCTTTGTTTGTATGTGGTGCTGAGGATTGAACCCGAGCCGCACGAATGCCAAGCGAGCGTGCTACCACTTGAGCCACATCCCCAGCCCCACTGTGCTTTCTTTTAAAGAGTAATTTACCTGCAGCCCTGCCTGGCTCAAGTCCACAGGATACATTCTCGGCTAACTATCTGCTATCTGCATGAGAAATGCAGGTCCCAAATGTCAAGAAGAACACAAGTTACCCCGAGGGAGACTTCTCTGGCCCCCAGAACTCAGGAGATGAAGGATAATTCTCCCAACCATAAAACTGGTAAGAACAGGTTCCAATCAGAATCAGTCAGTATAGCCAAAGTGAACTAGAGTTGTCATGATAGCCTGATGTCATGACATGCCTGATGTCAACATGCTGTCAAATGCCAAGGTCTCAGCTTGGCAGTCAAAGGGCTGGGGTTGTGCTCATGGTAGAGTGCTCACCTAGCACGTGCGAGGCCCCCTTAATTCAATCCTTAGCACCACGTAAAAATAAATAAAATAAAGGTATTGTGACCAACTACAAAAAAAAAAAAAAAAAAACCCCAAAACATGCTGTCAAAAGTCAACAGGTGGACCAGGGTGGGACTGCTGTCCCCTCTCTGAGAGGACCTACTCTCTCCCTTGAGAGTCTCCTTTTCCTTTCCCTTCAATAAGCTCATGCCTGCCACTTTGAGGGACATGTCTGGTATCTTCCTGGCACCACCAAGAACCGGGTAAGAAAGGACTGCTGCGACTGCCTCAGCTTAGCAGCAGGCCTTGCTCTAATAGAAGCACACTGTACAGGTCCCTATACCCCTGCATCACAACCAGCTCCATCCCTGCCATGGCCCTGCTGCGCTGCACACCCCAGGCCCACCTTGCCAGCCTCTTCAGGAGGATGCACCCCTCCTGTCCTACCTGGAGGAGAGGCAGGAAGATACAGCTGGAAGATACCAGCTTGGCCTAGCAGACCTGGCACATGTTCTAAGGGCTCCACAGAGTCTCACCAGGGCACAAGCCACACACTGAGCACCAGGAGCTCACAACCAGGAGTACCTGTCCCTCTTCCACAGGACCACATTGCCCTGGCCAGCCCCACCAGAGGAACCACAGGCTGACAGCAGGTCCAACTGAGCTGGTGTAGGCCCCTACTGGAACAGTGGGGTGTGTGCATCTGCGCTTCAGAAGCTGGCACAACCAACGTGGGACACAGCTGTAGCCCAGGCACCTCCCCTAGGAAGGAAACTGCACAGCTGACTCTCACCCTAGCACCCATCAAGAGCATTGAGCCAAACCATAGGCCAGAGGCAACTTGTTTTGGGGAGACTGTGGAAAGTACTCTGGACCCTTTGCTCTTTGGTTCTTTCAGTTCCAAACCCTGGTCACGAGCCAAAACCCCCACATATGTAAGAAGTGGCTGAGATACAAGAGAATTCCATAGGAGCTCAGGAGGGACTGTCACCCAGGAGCATTTGCTGGGAACTACTTGAATTGGGCTTCCCTTGCAACAGCAGCCCCACTCCTCTCCTCCCTACAGCCTGCCCCTAGGACTGGATTCTGCCACAGCTGCCCCCTTCCCTTTGCCTTCCAGAAGACACCAAACGAACAAAAATGTCAGCTCCCTCTAACCCTCTCCTGAGAAACAAGTGGCTTTGGGCACCCAGGTGACGTGTCCCAGCTTGAGACCACCCAGCCCTATGGAACTTCTTCTAAATAAGGTGACACCTAGACCAGGTGCAGTAATGCCTGCCTGTAATCCCAGCGAATTGGAGGGTTAGGTAGAAGCATCACAAGTTCAAGGCCAGCCTCAGCAACTTAGCAAGGCCCTCAGCAACTTAGTGAGATCCTGTCTCAAAATTAAAATAAAATAAAAAATAAAAGGGCTGGGTTAAATACCCATTACCTACCCCCCCAAAAAACAAAATCAAAAACAAAACAAAACAAAACAAAAATCTAGCACCTGGAACAGCCTCTGTCTTATCCTCCTACCCAAGTGGGACAGGATCTACCACTGCCTTCAGAGGAGGCTAAGGCAGGGCAGAGCCCAGCCCTGTACAACTACCCTGTCTTGCTGACACTGCCCTGTTTGAGATTCTCCCCACCAAGAAAAAGGAACAAGGGCAGAACAAGCATAGAGAGTAGAACCAAACAACAGTAGAGTGCAAGGACCCCACAGGGCTGGCCAGCAGCCCTCTTCTGTAGGGGGAGACCCAGTCCAGCACAGGCAGGGTCAGGGAGGAACCTGGAGCTGAGTACAGAGGCACCTTCCTCCTCCACCTGCTTTCCTAGGCTTACCCCCACTCCCTCCCTTTCCTTTCTGATGATGTGGGATCACTCTCCTCACATCTGCTCCTTCTACCTCTTTCTCAAATCATCTCAACATGCTTCCTGACTATTCTGCATGTGCCTGAACAGACAGGGGAAAGTGTGGGATGGCTGGAGCAAAATGTAATACATTCAAGTTCACAATTTCAGGACGTGCTGGTCTTGTTTTTTCCAGCCAAAATCTAGTGCTAGGCCAAGGTTTCCAGAACCTCAAGGAAAGGCAGTGGCACCACTGGCCAGCATGGCAGGAAATTCTGCTATCAGTGACTGAGACAGGAAAGCCCCAAGTAGCAAATCCCATCCTAACCTGTCCTTCTTGGGGACTGAAGAAAAAAGTTTTCCTGAGTTCCTCAGAGTAAACATGGTCTGGGAAGTCTAAGAGTGACAGAAAACTCCAGAAAAGCCCACACTGTGGCAGGCAAAGCCCTTTGAAGACCCTGCAAGGGTGAACGTGAAGGACACCCTTCTACAGAAGCAAACTGCGTTCCTTCTCTTCCCTTGACTCTACCCAAGAGTGGCCAGCTATCACCTGGCTTCCACCCTCTCCTCAGGACAGGTACTACATGGCACCTTCACCTGCTCCAAAGATCACCTATAGGAACTCCTGCACTCCTCGCTTGGAGAGCAGGCTATGTATGTTCTCAGTTCTCAGGCTGAGCCTAAACTTGAGTTTTTCCATTTTATGAAGCAGTAGTTTGCCACAAGCTACTCATTTTGAGTGCAAGTGCCAAGATAGAATGACTCCATGCCTTGTTTATACAAGTAAACCACCATCATCTGCCCAATACAACCTACTGTAAGGCACACATTGATAAATAACTTATATATGCCAACTTATCAAACTAAATTAAGGAGCACTTGGACGCATGGACAAACCAAATCACATCAGGAACATCAGACATGGGAGCTTATCCATCTCACCAGATGCAAACCCCTTCCTTGCTTGAGACCCATAAAAGTAGGAGCCTTGAGATTGAACGGAAACACCCTGACCCCATCCCCTGGGCACTCATCAACAGCCTTGCTAAGAAAATTCACTAGTGAGGAGCTTCCATTTCCTGTCCCCGTTGGGCTGCAGCAGAGAAGTCTGTCCTGCTGGGATGGCCACACATGGCCCCACTCTAAGCTGACACCGAAACTGCCATCCACCTGGACTCTGACAACTCTGCAGAATTGATTTGTTAAAATTCTTATCTGACCACCTACCTGCAGTGACTGAGCCTTGACTCATGTCTCAGCCTGGGCTCATGATGCAGCACCCTGTAAGCCTGAACTGCCTTGACCCTTCCTCAGTCTTTCTCCTGTATACACCATTGTGTGATGTGGGACTTGAGTGTTAGACAGGAGGAATTAGGGCTGGATAAAAGACCTCGTATTTTCCTGGATTACGACTTTCAGCGAACCCATTCGATGAAGGCTTGTCGTTCAACAGATTCTGACATTGTGGAAAGACATAAACGTGTTTGGCCTGTTAGTGACAGAGCCCCCTCACAACAGCATCCTGTGCCCTGCAGGCTCCATCTCGGCTCAGACCGTGCTTGGGGACAGCTCCACACCGGCGGCTTCTGGAAGCCAGGAGGAGCCCGGCCCCGTCGCCACAGCCGCGCTCGGGACACTTCTAAGCGCCGGCCTACCCAAAACCCCGCAACGGCCCGCCCGCGAGCCTCGCTGGGGACCTCTGGGGCGGGCGCGGAGCG